GTTGAGGTATGTTTGTATCAAAATAGTTTCTACAAATCTGATTGTTTCAATAGAGTATGGTGTGAAAACCGTTGGTGTTTTTCTGAGGAGAAAGTACGATATTTAACAATGCAAGAATCATGCAGATATGAGGCATCTGTTTTCAAAAAATTACAATAGTTTCTTTTATAAAATCATATCAAAATGCTTTCATTTCTGTAATAATATCATCAGTCTACGTATTCTCGAAACAATCCTAGAGATAGGATGTCCTAGGTTCTTATCTTATAACATTGATTCCAGGTCATCCTAGCGCTAAGATCATTTTGAGAATACGTGGCCAGATTTAAAAATTTCACATCTTCATGTTGATAAATAGTCTATTCAAATATTGTTATTAAAATGTTTTTGTATTTTGTACACCATCATCTTCGTTAGGCAAGAAGAAAACCAGAGCATTGAAGCTGAACTAAAAAATGTTGAGTTTTGAATATAATGTTTATGTTTATGAAAGTAGTTAATCGAAGCGTACATTATGAAGAAAAAAATACAAAACACTCCTGTTTCTGGAAAAAATGACAAAGTGTTATCTTCTATCCTATAAAATCTTTACAAATGTGAAACATTATTTCTTAAGCTGTTTTTATCTTAGAATCTTTTCCGATACAATTAATAAAAATGTAGATGTTTATGGTTTTTGTGTTATTTTTATACCTGGTGAAACAGGTTAATTAGAAAATATAGTTCGATCATTAAATGTGAAAATAGGTCAATATTTTAGTGATTTATTAATTTAATTTTTTGTTTATTTCTACCAAAACTAGCTCAAGGTTTTCGTGTGAGTTGGAAAATCTGCAAGGGCTTATTTAAAGGTTAATGCATTATTGGAGGGCTTAGAACAGCTTCCTTGGTTTGCAAAATTAGAGGTCAAGGCTTTGATTTACCATTTATTTGGGATCCCAATGATTGGTTTTGAAGACTTGTATGCCTTCATAAAAAAAATCATAAGCTGGACAGACCTTATAAATGCTGAAGGCATTGTCAAGGTTGTGTCTAGACTGAATTGGAAACATTCCTCCTTTATAGCTATCAGAGCTGTCTTGATAATCTTTATTGATATGTTAGTCTGTTAATTTGAAGTTAAGTGTTTTCTCAGACCTTTCACACCTTGATTCTCACCTGAAGCAGCTTGTTAGCTCTTCAGACCTCATTTAGAAATGATTTACTGCCAGGCAAGAATGGAGATAGTGTGCCAGTTATCTGTTTTGCACCCCTTTTCTCTATATTGAAATCTACCACACATGCATACTTTAAATCAATTTGATACAGTAGTAATCTTGATTAGAAGAGTACATTTTCAAAATTAGGCATATTTATGTTTCTAATGTGTCAAATCTCATATTTCAAACTTAACTGCCAGATATACCTACTGTTCAAGACTACATACTGAGCTAATTATCTAGATCAGTAGGTCTTGATTAGCCCAGTAAGATTAATAGAAGTTTTAGTACCTGTCAAATATTTGATATATAGTTTTATTAACTGATTACTTGTAATATATTATTACATAGGTATACAATTACCTGATTTTGAAATAAGATTGTGTTGAATTATTGAATATGTCATTATGGTATGTCTGCACCATATAAGCTATTGAATTTAATATTGTACTCAATTTTCACAGCTGCAAGTGACAGTGTAATGGTGCACATAGACTAGGTACAGTGTAGTGCAGTATAATAGATACAGTAGAAAATATATGAAGCAAATCATTTGGTCACTCCACAATATATTCTACTGTATCAATTATCCTGCCTTGGACACCTTACCTTGTCTATCTGCAGCTTTAGTCTCAAGGAAAAAGGCTATTAGACCAAAATTATAACTGCTGTTACAAGGCCATCCCATCATTTAGTGTTTTCAAAAATTTTTAGGTGTAGGATATGTTTTATGAATCCTCATAAGTACTGAGATAAAAATTCATGTTACATGTAACATTTCCATAAAAAGAATTGACTGATTTTTTTTGACAATATTGCAATATTCCATGACCCTTTTCTCCCCTTACGCTTAAGGATAAATGGTTATTACGTATGTCACAACTTGGTCAGTAAGACTTCTAGACCTTGACACCTCGAACCAGTTTCTTACAAGTCCAGTAAGGTGTCATTATAATGGAAATTACAATAAAACCACAATTAACTTATCTTATATTACCTTGACCAGGTGACAAAATTGTAGAAAGTCAACATTGTAGGTGACATATCATCAAATATTTATTAATTTATAGTGGAGGGGTTTTTAACACAAATCTTCTAATAGTCTAACATCAAAAGAATGGCAAGATTATCCATTAATCCTTTGAGCAATTATTTCAAGAGGGGTAGAAAAGTAGGGTGTAAAATTTCACTTCATTGTAATCCAGTGAGCAATTAACAGTTGTAGACCCTTTGTTTTTAAATTGCCTTCTCTCTAATTAGAAAGAAAATTATTATTTTTGGCTCTCATTAAGTGGATTAACATCTTTAATTATTACAAGAGATCTGTATAATCCTCTTACTATAATGTCCAACCCTCTTCATTGTGTCTGGTGACATTGTGGTTTTTTTGAAAGATTTTAGGCATTACTGTGTTTAATTTTACTACCAGTATTACTAATGGGGTGGGAGTAAATCTAAGAAGGTACTGAAGTCGAGTTTTGTGAAACATTGGTATATTTCAAAGAGCAATAGTTCTCTGAAAATTGACACAAAAATTATTCATTGGTGATGGATTAAGGTAAAGAATTGAGGATATTTTTGAGGCAAATCTCATCAAAAGCACTAGACTTGGGGAATAACACCTTGGCATTGTCTATTAAGAATATAAAGCTCTGGCTTAAAGATGGTTAGTACACAAAGTGTTGAAGTAAGTGTTGTAAGGAGGTAGGAAAAGTCTAAGTTTATTTGTTTAATAATCAGTCTATTTAATATCAATTATTTTTTACATCATTTCTGTTTATCAAGCCTTCATTATACACAGATAACGACCAGCGTATCTTCCTGCCTGTTGTTACATTATTAATATCAATATTGGTTGGAGGTTTGAAGTAGAAATATTATGGCACTTGGTTTGTTTGGACTCTTGTCTAATATCTCAAGCACTATTGAACCAGACGTAACAAGTGTGGTCAGTTTCAGAACTGTTTCAGTTTCTCAAATAATCTAACATTCAACCTAGTGGAGTGTTCTATTTCTCAAAATGTTAACTACAGGTTTGAAAAAGATTTTTAAAAAATTTGAGGTCTGAGATCCAATTCCTAGGCATCTGTTGGGTAGGCACTTTTAAAATGAAGTGGCATTTTCTCATTTCATGAAAAAATATACAATTTTGAAATCCAAATTCAAAGGACATAACAGAAAAATAGAAACATTGTTTGTTGTCAGAGAGTTTGAGGAAACATCAGAATTGTCAGACTATGAATTTGGCCCTTTGTGTTGTTTTAAGTGTTCAAAAGTGCTCTATTAAGTGTATTTTTATATTGGTCTATATTGTAAATAGCACTTTGTTTTGAAACATATTAATAGTGTTGTATGTTAAAGATTAAGATCTCTGATGCTTTAAGACATTGAAACGAAACAAGGAACAGAAGAGTTAGAACACATTCAATATGGAATAGGTTAAGATCGTGATCTAGAGTGCTCTAGATCAGAGGTCAGGGTTTTAAGTGATAACAGTTATATTTTATTATTGAAAAAGACCTTCAGATTGTCTGGAGACTGGATATTAACATCTTATATTTGTACCCTCAAAAGTTGGGACTATGTGTGGAACATATATTCAAGGTATCATTTGTGCTATCTGGTGTATCCTCGGGTCAGCTTTGGTAAAAGTTATATTTTAGTGTATTAGAATAGTAGTACAATGAAGATTGTTACCTTCAATAAACATGATAAAGTTGCAACTGTGTGCTTGGCAGATATTGGAGACCCCTTTTGGACTATTGATCTTTACTCACCAGTGAGGTGGTTTTAAGTGATGTTTGAAATATTGGATCTGAGAGATATAATTTATGGAAAAACCATAATGGCTCTAATTATAAGAATAAAATATTTACTCTCAACTCTCCAGTGTTTCACCTTTAAATATCTGGTTTTCAAACTCTAACATGTATCTATATGTAAACATATTGGATATTGTATATTCTACTGATTGATCTATGGATATTCCACATTGCATGTGGTGATTATAGGATATCTGAAACGAACATGTTTTGTTTATTTTTTTTGAAGACAAAATATACTGTGTATAACAAACCATTATCACATACAATGATATATAGAATGAAAGATGTGAATGGGTAAACTATTTCTCCAGCTTATTTAATGATATATATGCCAATCTGTTAGTACATAGAAGTAGTAGGTAGTACTGTTACCTGCCATTGCCTATAGTTTATGAGATAAAGGTGTTTTCAGTTCATTGATAACAATGTAAAGGTGTGTATAACACGTGGAAGAGACCTGTAGTTTATTTCTTTCATAAGGCACAATTGTTAAAAGTTGTAGAATCAGTGTAAAGAATGAATATACCTAACAACAATAACTTTTTATGGATCTATTTTTTGGAGTAACAGAATCAGCATTTTTGGATTTATCATTTATTAAGGTGACACTAAAGACACCTGCGTAGGATTCTGCCTAGTATTAAGAAGGCAAGGCATGTTAACCTGTTTGGATTATCTGATGCCACTTGCCAACTCAGCATATCTTATAGAATCCAGATATCTAATAATGTTTAATTCTTACTTCATCTGGTAAAACATAGTACAATCTATCACTGCCTTTCAGTATGCCTGAAATGACTCAGTGCCTGGGATTGTCTTTATAAACTATAAAGCTAATAATGTTGATTTATTAAATATTCCAAATTTTGACAAAATATATCATTTCTCTTTTCAGATAATGGAGTATAAAAGTGCTGGATAGATTCATCAAGAAGTGTAATCATTCTCTGCCACAATGGATGATTTGGCATATTTAATGAACTCTAACCCGTATTATGATACGTGGGATAGACATAATAGCATAGCTATATCAGCTAATAAAGGATTACGCAATGCTCCGGGTGAAAATAATTGTTTTGTGAATAGTGCTGTACAGGTAAGCCTTTCTCCTGATAAGTTGATAAGCAGGGAGGAGGGTAAGAACAGGGTTGATAGTGGTTGAGTGATTGAGCTCAGACAGATTATCTTTCAGCATGTTTTATGAATGATTATATATAGAATCACTCTAGAGCAGTAAGTTTGCATTGAATTGCTTCTTATTCCTTACATCGACTGATTCCCATGATCAGATATGTAGCAATGGAGCAGAATTAGACCAAATGTGAGCCTTTATTCATCAAAACCAAAGACCCAATGTATATCACAAGGAGGAAACCCTCACATATCCCTTCTGCATTGCAATCCATGTGTCACACAACATAAACAAAATCAAAGAAATGAATAAATATATTTCCCATCAAAACACACTGCGTAACAAACAAGTCACAAAACACAAGTTTACATGCATCTTTATTTACAGTTGTGCATTTCCAGTTCTATTATCAATATTGAGACAGTGTGCAGCTTACAACTTCTACAATTCCAGAGTAAATACTGAACAAATTGTCAATAAAAACTAACTTAGTGGCATGTTTTCAGAAATGTTAATCTATTTATTTTCTCATCCAAACGACTCTCACAATTTCCTCTGCATAGGTCTTCTGGCTATTGCTTAAAGATTTTCTCATACTAGTAAATCAAGTGGGGTTTTCAATTTGACTATGTGACTTTGATTTCTTTAGGGCTTTCGATTAGTGCTGTCACTCAAATTTGACTAAAAATGGAACATATATATTATGTAATGATAAAAAATCATAATATCCCCTTTTTCGAGCACAAACTAGTGGTTTTTCATCAGCATATGCCTTTTACTGGACAATGAAAAGGGCTCCCTCTACAGCTTCTCTTGACAAGTCCAGGAGATACATTACTTTCAAGATCTGATTACCGTAATATTTGAACCATCAAATTTGAGAATTTCTCATGAAAGAAAGAGTAAATGTCAGCAGAAAATGAAATAGATCTTTATTAAATGGCCAGATATTTGGTTTTAATGGATGTTCACTTTCTATCTGTGTACCATCAGTAAACAATATAGAGAAAGAGATGGGGAGTAGGTGACCCCAGTGGGTGACCCCTGTTTGACCAGGGCGAGAGGCCGGCCGTCACTTTGTCCCATAATGTCCCTATCAAGTGATCTATACTCATTGATTGTATAAGGATTAGTTAGGAGTAAATAATGACTGAAAAAAGGTAGCGGCCCCTTTTACCAAATGGTAGAAAAATGGGGTGGACTCGTGGCACGTATTAAAAAGTTTATTTAAAGATTTTTATTGTAATTCTGAGCAAAGATTACTAAATGTTTAGAATAAATCAAGTGTTCAGATCCCTTTGATCAAAAATCTTCAAAATTTTCTTTTATTTCTGTTGCTTTTATCTTTTGAAGTTTAAACATTTTAACTATTATGTTCCTTTTTAAATTCAAAGTTTATGTGCACTCTCATCTAAGTTTTATTAATCTTTGAAAAAGTAGAATAATTTAGATTTGATTGCAACGTTTTAAATTTTATTGTTGCTGAAGGTTAAGGCTACCTTGCTTTGAAAGGGAAACCCATCATGGTATTCATTGTATGAGAGCTCAGATTTGATAAGGTCTTTGCAGTGGTACTGTATCATTACTACTCCAACACCATGGCATGGAATAAATATACCAAATATACAATATTAGCTATGTTAGTTATGCCAAGATTGTAAATTTAACAAGCCGAGTCATAGAGTGGCATTGGGTGTTTAGGAAAGAAGAGCATGCCCTGCCTAGCCCAACCTTGTCACAGTCTTTTTTCAATGGAGACATGGAGCCAAAAGTAACTGTTGATCTTAAAATTTAGCAGTGATTTATTTCTTGGAGACTGATATAAATTGTAAACTCTTCCTTATCTAGTTGCAGTCCCTATGTATATTTAACCCTTCACAATAATAACCATGAAATTGTGATATATTGCTGGCAAATTAGGGCACGGCAATTATCTGTGGCTTGTTCTCCTTATTTTGATAACCTTAAAACAATAGAGGGACAATAATTAAAGATAATCGGAGAACCATTATCTTGTACACTGTTTTATATCAATTTTGACAAGTGTAATAGATGGTATTTATTGCCCAATTAACTCATTATGGTCTCTGGTTTCAAGATTTTTACCTGTCAATTTCCACTTCTACTCTTATTCCTGACATTTCTGCTATTTTCTGCTAAAGTGCTGTCATTTGAGATGTAGTCCTTACTCCAGCGTGATTTCTTTTCATGCACTTATCAAACTTAAGTTTTTTGGTTTTTTGTTGAGTTGCTGTCAACTGAGGCATGATGATTATCTGCTATATCATTATATTTTTTATTCCTTTGCAATACTCATAATTTTTGTGGAATCGATACTATACACTTAAAGAACAATGGTTTTGCTTAAATGTATTCATCTGATTCATAATTGCTTGCAATATGTTCTACAAAATCAAATGAACCAGATTTAGACCATAAATTTTTAAGCACTTAAGTTACATTTCTCTTTCCAATGAACAATTACAATATTGCAAATAGGATTTTCAAATTTATTATGCCCATGTGACTTCCGTGTACAATAAACTTTCCAAATTAAAAGCATATCTGTGATGTCACGTAAACCTGTCATGTGGCGCAAACCAGAGATGGTATATATTGCCTTAAAGAGACATAAATAAATGTTGAAATATATTCAGAAATGTTAAAACATAACCTAAAAAACATGATGTCATACTGAGTTTCATGCTATGCGATCTTCAGACAACTGACCTATTTCGGCCTGCGTCCCTGATTTATTGAAATGTATTTAAAGCAGCCCTAGGTGAACTGACAAGATAACCTACTTGAACCTGATCTGGCTAATTATCTAAACAATACTTTAACTTTGTCATAATGATAGATAGCCACTTTAACCTTTATCAAAAAATTCCCACACTTTGGATTTCACTAGAAATCGCACATTAGTGGATTGAAGGTGTTTGAATTTCAAATAAATGACTTTTTGAGAACAAAAATGCATCACAAATGAGATGGGGTGTATCACTTTTAAAGTTAATTTGCTGTAGAGTCTTTTGAAGATATGTGAAGTACTTTACTAAGAGTCTTTTATGAAATTTTTGAAAGTATAGCCTTGAGGGAAATATTTGTCCACTGTCTTTGCTTATTTGGATTGGATGTTTAGGTCAATGATTAATTCAATGTGGTAATAGATTAAGGCCTTGGAGATGTTGTGGGTGGCTGAGATAACATTCTATCAGCTAGTTAAGCAAATATGTAGACTATGATATATAAGTTAATATCTTGAATTAGTTCAAATTTTCTCAACATTCCAAGCTTTATTCAAATCTATCATCTATTGTTCCAGACTATTACTATGTCAGAGAGGAGACAATAATCATGTCTACAACCAACTGATTTATATATTAAGGAAAGAAAATAAGGTTAAAAGATGACACAACAATGTAAACATAGAGTAGATTTGTACAGGGTAATGACAATTGATATATAACAAGCTATGTCAGTAGTAAAACCAATAATGGGTTATGTCATGACATCATGGCATGTATAGTGACATGGGGTCAATTGTTATCTATTGTGTTTGAACAAAATATTTAGATAGCTTTGAGATTCCCACATGCCCTTGTTAAGTTTCTTATATAATAAGAAATGTATGGTTCAAGCTCAACTTCTGCGATTTTGATTTTTTTTCCCCACAGAAGCAGACGTCATCCCTAACCAGTAGTAGTAGTTCAAGCTAAAAATTCATATTCAAACCTCTTATCGCAGACATCGTTTGTATATTAAAAGGGAATGTTTCTATTTAATTGCTTTAAATCCATGTGTTGTGACATCACTATTGCACTATCACTCTAAGAAATGCACTAGTACTAAATGTGCCCTCACACACGATTATCAGTTGCATATGATTGAGAATAATGAAAGTGGCCAGGAATTCCAAATGCAATGCTGAGCCCAGTAGCATGAGAGTTGCATTCGAAACTTTATCCAACTGGTGATCACTATGGTGTGAGGGCCACTTACTATTGCAATAGCTTCTTATGATATCTAAGGGCAATTGAGAAGCGCATTTATACAAGTCAATACTATGTAAATGAATAAAGACATATTTAATGCATTACTCTTTAATATTAAAGTCACATTTCTTCAATATATAGTATTGACTCTAATCCTCTTATTAAACAAATCTACATGTTCACAGTGCAGACTACCTTGAACGTATTTTCTTAAAAAATAATATTTTTTTCTTTGTTGATTTGGTTTTTATGGGAAATTAATTTTGACACCCTCACATTGTGACTTTTGGTATTTTTATTATATATTAAACAAAACGTGTGTGTTATTGGTTGATTGTAGATGATAGGTTTATTCGAATATCGTGGGAAACCGCTATGTAATACGGTCTCTTGGTTTTTGAATAGAAATCACACAATGAATACCTGTATTGTTCTGAAATTATGTCTTGCTGTTTTTTCTTATACATCTTTTTATATGGTGATAAGGTGTACTCAGCTATTATGTAAAATACGATACTTTGCTTGTGAGATTTTCACCTTTTTCATTAAAGAGTATGATGTAAACTATGAATTTTTTCAGTTCATAGCACAAATGTCAATTAGGGACTTACCTATAAACATTAGGTAGGAGGTTGAGTAGGTGACGGCAGATTGTCACGAGGATTCACAGGCAGTTCTTTCCCAATGTAAAATGCTGAAAAAGAGGGGAGCAGAGATAAGCCAGGCCAGCCCAAAATTTGAATAACTGTATGATGCTTTTTGAAATATAAACTGATACTGCTCAATTCACCATCGACAACTTGATCGTTTTTTCAGCTCAAAAGGACCTTCATGAATTTTGTCAAAATTCAAATGAACCACTCTTTATTTGAACCCTTCAACTTAATAGTTGTCAAAATAGGATGTTTCATTTTCCTAGAAATAGATTCGATTTTTCCTAGACTAAATTTGGATATATATGGGTAGCCA